TCATTCCGAAGCCCTCTAAGTTGGAGCTGGCCTGAAGGCTGCCTGGTAGGGTGGGGAGGAGTTGAGAGCATCTGGATTGCTCCAAAGAGTTTTGGTGGCTCAGTGATTAAGCCTTTGACTGCTAATTAAAAGGTCAGTGGTTTGAACCCATGAGCTTTTCCATAGAAGTGCCTGCCTGATTCCCTAAGTTTGACAGCCTTTGAGACCCTATGGGGTAGCTTGACCTACACAGTATCTTGGTTCTGTAGAACAGCTTTGAGCGAGAATGGACTCCAGTTATAATGGGCTGCTGGGTAGGATGCTCGGGGGTGGAGGTGGATGGAGCTGGGACAACAAGGTGACCTCCACCCCGGGTCTGCCCTGCTCACCTCCAGTTCCCTGTAGTGGGGACCCCAAGGCAGAGACCCTTTGTACTGGATTCCTGTGGCAGCCGTAACTGTTTACCACGTAGAAAGTGATATGAATCTATTTTATTTTCTCACACTTCTGGAGTCCACAAGTTGAAGATCGAGCTTTGGCAAGGCTGTGCTATCCGTCCAGGCCCTTGGGAGGTATTCTGCCTCGTCTCGGTGAGCTTCTGGTGGCTGTAGGCATCCTTGGCTTGTGGCTGCATTGCTCCAGTCTCTTCCCCTGACCTCACGTCACCTTCTCTGTGTGTCTCCTGTGTCCTTTCCTTTTCTTGTAAGGACTTGACTTGTTGAATTTAGGGTCCTCGTGTGAATACTTGTGTTGTTGTTGGTTACCATCCGGTCACCTCCGACTCATCAGCCCCCAGAGCAATGGAACCAAATGCTCCAAGTCCTGCACCATCCACATCGTCGCTGGTGTCTCTGAGTTTGTTGTGTGACTATTGTGTCAGTCCAGTTCTTTGAGGATTTCTCTTGGTTTTGCTGACCCTCTGCTTTACCAAAGGAACCCTAATGTATTAGCCAAAAGGTCAATAGTTCAAATCCACCAAATGTACTGCTTGGAAAAAGAGAAGCTGTCTTCTTTTTTTTTTTTAGTGGAATTTTTAAATTATTATTAATTTTCATCAATATTTACAGACACTGGATTTTCATTAATTCATTGTTGCAGTTTTCTCCCTGCCTACCCCTCCCTCCCCAGGACAATCTTCTCTTGGAAAAGTAAAAGAAAAATTCTTTCATTGTTATACAATCCCTCCCCCCAGGTCCATCCCACTATGCAGCTTTCGCTCTGGACTCCTGTTATGACAAAAATACCTAATCACATATCCCTTTTAAACAGTTTTCTCCCTCATCTGTTTCAGTGCAGTATATTTTATTGAACCCATCTTTCTCAGTCTTCCTCCAACCTGGATGTCAGTCCCATTCTACAACAGTGGCATTATTCAGTATTTGTCCTTTTGTAACTGAGATATTTCACTCAGCATAATGTCCTCCTGGGTCACACATTTTGAATAATATTGCATGAGTTTCTTGTTTTTCTTTTTTTTTAAAAACAATTTAATTTTATTATTTTGTGTGTGTGTGCCATCAAATCAGATCTGACTGGTATAGGAGGAGATTGCCCCTCCTTCTCCAGCAGAACATCTGGTGGATTCAAACTGTATACCTCTGGGATTGCAGTGCAGCTTCTTGCCACTAGACCACTAGAGCTCTAAGTTCCTTGTTTTTCAATGCAGCATAGTACTCCTTTGTGTGAATATACCAAAGCTTCTCTATCCATTCGTTTGTTGATGAGCAGTTAGGTTGTTTCCAACTCCTTGTTATTGTAAACAAAGCTGCAATACACATGGGTGTGCATATATCTGTTTGGATGTCAGTTGTGGTCTCTTTGGGGTATATTCCCAAGTAGTGGAATTGCTGGGTCAAATGCTATCTCTATTTGCAACTTTTTGAGAAAGAACCACACTGCCTTCTACAGTGGTTGCACCATTTTACACTCCCACCAACAGTGAATAAGGGTTCCAGTTTCTCCACAACCTCGCCAGCATTTGTTGCTTGCTGTTCTGCTAAATTTTGCTATTCTGACTGGGGTGAGATGATGTCTCATGGGATTTACAGCCTCAGGAACCCAATAGAGCATCACTAGGAACTGGAACCAGCTTGAGGGAAATGGGTTTGGATTAGTTTCCATGTCCTTTCTAGTGATCAATGTTTCCTGATGAAAGTTCAAAGTGATTGAGCCAAAGTCTTCTCACCGTCAGGGATTTGTTTGTTCTTTTGACTATCCTTGGTTTAGTCAACATATTTTGCCCAACATATCAATTCTTGATGCCCAAGGCATCAATTCTTCTGTCTTCCTTTTTTCATTATCTGACATTTACATGCCTATGAGGACATCTAAAAAACCATGGCTTGGATCAGGTGCACCTTGGTCCCCAAAGTGACATCTTTGCTTTATAAGGTTTTAAAGAGATCTGTTACCTGCAATATGGGTTGAAGCTCAACGTCAAGAAAACAAAGGTTCTCACCACAGGGTCAACTCACAGCACCATGATAGATGGAGAAGAGACTGGGACTGTTAACAATTTCAGCTTGCTTGGGCCCGTAATCAACACTCTTGGCACCAGCAGTCAGGAAATTGAAAGGTGAATTGCATTAGGAAAATCTGCTGCCAGGGACTTCTCCAGAGTGCTGAAGAGCAACAATGTCAGTTGAGAGACTAAGGTATGCTTGACCCAGTCCTTGGTCTTTGCAGTTACTTGCTATGCATCAGAGAGCTGGACAATGATTAAGGATGACAGAAGAAGAATCGGTGCCTTTGATTTGTGGTGCTGGAGAAGAGTATTGAACATACCATGGACTGCTAGGAGAACAAACAGGTCTGGCCTGGAGAGACTGAAACCAAGTTGCTCCTTGGAGGCAAAGATTTTGAGATCCTATCTCACACACTTTGGGCATGTTGCCAGGAGGGACCGGTCCTTAGAGAACGACATCATGCTTGGAAGGGTGGGAGCACATCATAGGAGAGGGAGACCCTGGATGAGATAGATTGACACAGTAACTGGGGTAATGGGGGTAAGTGTGTCAGAGGCAGTGAGACTGGCTCAGGGTAGAGCAGGGTTCAGAGCTATTGTGCCTAGGGTCGCTATGAATCGAAGTTGATTTGACAGCACATAACAACAGTATTCCATCTGTCTTCTTGACTGTTGCTTCCTTGAAAGTTGGTTATTGAGCCGAGTAGAATTAAGTTGTTAACAAGCTTGTTCCCTCCTTTCCCCTGTATCATGATGTCTAACAGTCCAGGTGTAAGGATCTCTGTTTTCTGCTTTAGTCTTTGCTGTTTGTAGGTCCTGTGGAGTTGACTGTCTGATTCATAGTGACCCTACGAACAACAGCTTGCACTGCCCAGCGCCGTCCTTGCGAATCTCGACCTGCTCCAGCCCGCTGTTGCAATCACTGTGTCAGTCCAGCTCACTGAAGGCCTTCCTTTCCTTCGCTGACCCTCTATTTTCTAAGCAATTGTGGTGTTTCATGTGGGTAAATTGAGTAATTATGATTTCATATGACCTCTGCTTGATCCTTAGCTAATTGCCTCCACAAAGATCCTGTTTGCAAATAAGGCCACATTCTGAGCTCCTTGGTGGTCCCTGACCCTGGTGGTCTAGTGGGTAAAGAGTTTCCCCTGCTGACCCAAAGGCATGAGGTTTGAATCCACTTCCTTCTCTGGGAGAGAAAGGTGCACAGTCTCTTTCCATACGATTTACAGCCTCTGATAACCTGCTGGAGGACCAGCTTTGAGCTGGCTTCAGCTCACAGCAGTGAATGGAGTTTATTGACCCAACCCACCACCCCACTGCCTTTACCCTCTCTTGAGGCTCCCCTGTGGGCTGGGCCAGGCCTCACAGGTATTACCAGGCTCTCTGTTTTGGCTGGTAGACCCCAGATGCACCACTACTAGCACTTCTCAGAGAGCATTTATTAGATTGTTACTGTTGCTATTCAGCGCTTGGTGAGTCAGTTATGACGCATAGCGACCCTATGAACAGTGTGGGTCTGTACCGTTCTATCCTGTGAACAACGGGTCTGTACCCTGTTCTATCCTGTGTCACCCTCGCGTTATCTTACATACTGAGCCCGTTGTGGCAGTCACTGTGTCAATCCGTCTCATTGAGGGTCTTCCTTTCCTTAGCTGACCCTCCACCTTTCCAAATATGATGTCCATCTCCAAGGAATAGCCCCTCCCAACAATATGCCCTAAGTATGTGGGGTGAAGCTTTGCCTCCAAGGAACACTCTGGCTGCACCTTCTCCAGGACATATCTGTTTATTCTTTTAGCAGTCCATGGGCTGTCCGCTACTCTTCTCCAATACCACAGCTCAAAGGCATCAATTCTTCTTCTGTCATCCTCCAATCCAAGTGATTGAAAAGACCATGGCCTGAATCAGGCATCCCTTAGTCCTCAATTAGACATCATTACTCCTCAATAATTTCGAGAGGTGCATGACTGCAGACTTTTCCAGTACAATACCTCTCCTGATCTGGCTACTGGTACCAAGGGAGGCAAGTAAGATTGTGGATCCAAGTAAGATCAAGTTGTTGAACGTTTCAGTCTTTTCTCCATCTGCCATGATGTTGCCTATCAGTCCATTGGTTTTTTGGTTTTGGGTTTTTTGTTTTCTAGAAAAAGACTTAGAAAAGCAGTATATGCCCCAAGTTCTGCCTTTGAAGGCGCCAGTAGCTGAGCTTTCATGCCCCTGGGTCTGCTCCAACCTGCTGCTCTCATTTCTGCCTCCCCCAGCATCAGGGCTGAGCCTGCCCCAGCAGGCCAGGCCGGAATGAGAGCATGGGCAGCTCGGGGCTGGCCGCCTGCCTCCTCTCTGGAGCTGGCTCCTGTCGGTGTGGGTGAGGCCCCAGGAGTGTGGTAGGCATGGTTTGAGGAGGAAGATCTGGGCCTGGGGAGCTGGCCAGGCTCCGGCCACTGGATCCAGTCCCTGCCTGGTGGACTGGCTGCCCTCGGGCTGGTGCGGATGGGGTAGATGCACACCCCAGGGTGGGTTCAGATTGTTAACCCTCTGTTGTGTTCCCACCCAGATGTGGACGAATGCCAGATGCACAACGGCGGCTGCCAGCACAGGTGTGTGAACACCCCAGGCTCCTACCTCTGCGAGTGCAGGCCAGGCTTCCGGCTCCACACCGATGGCAGGACCTGCCTGGGTAAGCGGTTTTGCTGCCCGCCCCTCTGAAGGGCGCTCCATGCAGCTCAGGTTCAGGAAGGCCCAGGCACTGCTTTCCGGGAGGCCTGCCTGGGCTGGTCCTCAGGTGGGGTGGCTCAGGGTGGCAGTGGCCGCTGTTATATTACAAGAGGTCCTTCAGCTGGACTCGGGGACCCCGGGACTCACGATGCCCTCCTGGGGTGCCATTGTCAGTCCACAGACAGGTGAGAAAATGCAGACTCTGGCAGGTGGGAGAATAGTCTACAAGGCGAGGTTTCCAGCTCAGGTGGGTATAATACTGCGCTGCCCACCTTCCACCGACATGAGCTCCCTGGATTCAAAGTGTGTCAGCCAGCCTGGACCTCTGACTGGTGGGGGGAGCCTGGACTAGTGTCCCAGTGAGGCCCCCAGTGCCAAGTAGCCAGTCGGCAGCCCAGACCCGGCACTGCCCCCTCAGAACTTGGGGGAAGGTGGGGCCTACTGAACAGAGGTGAGGCTGGCGAGGAGGTATTACACGGCCACTCCTATCCTATGGGGATGGCCTTCCAGGACCCACATCATCGACCTCTGCAAGGAGCTCAGTGGGGTGGGGTGGGCGGTGCAGCAAATGGTTAACAAACCCAAGCCAATTCTCTTGCCTTTGAGTCTGTGCTGACTCTAATGACTGGCTAGGACAGAAGTGCCCCCTGGGTTGACAGAGTTGTCTTCTTTAAGGAAATGGACCAACCTTACCTTTCTCCTGTGGGTTGGCCGACAGGCTTGAACTTCAGGCCTCGTGACTAACAGCCGAGCTCTTTGACCGTTAGTCCCACTGGAACTCCTTGGCACCTGGCTGGGAGGGGAGTCCAGAAGCAAATTCTGACAGTTCTGACCCTGCACGTTTCTGGCCACAGAGAATAGTCTCAGTGGAGTCACAAAGGGTCAGTAGATTAAGGCCCTGTGGGTCTGAAAGGGTTAAAAGGAGAGAGGAGCACCTGGGGATGGGAGGTACAGCACTCTGCATAGAGGGGGCTGGAGACAGTTCTCCCACCCCGGCTGCACCCCAACCGGACCTGGACACAGGTGCCACGTAGGGTTGGCCTCGTGCAAACGTCTGTCTCAAGGCTGGGTTAGGTCACCCCCCTGACTAGTGGACACTGAGTAAAGCTCAGTCCAGAGGGACAGCCTGCCCTCTCTTCATCTTCCTCTCCCCTACTTTGGACCACCCCTTCTTTCCACCCCAGCCCCAGAACGTGGAAGGGCCCCTAGTGCCCCAGGATGCCGTGCTACCATATGGCAAGGCGACTGGCCAGCCCTGGGGGGCCCTCCCCCTCACTTGTCCTTTCGCTGTGCCGGGAGGGGAGCGGGGCCGCCTGTGGAGCCTCTCTGGTGAAAAGTGGAAACAGATGCAGGAATGCTGAGTTGCCTTCAAGACAGCAAACGGTTGTCTGCTGGCGCCTTGGGGCAAGGAAGGTGGGGGACTCCGGAGGGGGTTCCTCTGCCTGGGCACCTGTGGTCTCTGGAGGAGGTGACTCAGGTGCTGCAAGAGGAACAGGGCAGGCTTTCCTTGCAGAAGGTGACCATTGTAGGGGGTCTGCTACCTCACCCATGCAGACCCTGACCCCAACTGTGAAAGATGATCTTGGGAGTCACTCTCGGCCCAGTCTATGTCTTTCAAAGCCCTGATGGTGGCTGTCACTGTGTCCTGGAAGGAAGGAGGACCTGGCTGATGGTGATGCGTGAATACCGCTGAGAGGGAAGGGTGCCTTTGGGAACTTCACGGTGCCCAGCAGTGACTGCTAAGAATGACCCTACGTGCTGGCTTCTGGAAGCCCAGGAGGAATGCCCCTCCAGCTCTGCCCTCATCTCACCCTTCTCCACTACCAAAGCCACTGCCCTCTGTTCTCAGGCCCTAGGGAGCATTTGCTTGTTTTATCTGGTGAGAGTCTGACACCAGAGCTGTGGGCATGGTTTGCACAGCCCAGATGCCACATTGCTCTTCCTGCCCCTGTGGCATCTGAGGACCCCGTGGTGTTTTGACAGCCGTTCTCAGAATGCGTGGGCTTCTGGGAGTCCTTGGGCCACCTCTGTGCAGGTGCTGCCTCCTGGCTGTTTACACTGGAGGGACAGGTGAGCCTACCTGTCCTTCCTGCTGCCTTCTGTGTAAGTGAGTGTGCATCCCGGGACTGCGTGAGAAAGCATCGCATGATAGCTAAGCAGATAGATGATAGCTAGCGTGGTGCCGTTCATCGCAGAGGTCATTGAATTGGCTTCAACCCATGGCCACCTTATGTAGAACGGAACAAAACCTTGCCCAGACCTGAGTCATCCTCACGCTTGCCAGCATGTATGATGAGTCTATTCTAGGGAACATTCTGGCTGTACTTCCAAGACAGACTTGTTTGTTCTTCTGGCACTCCATGGTATATTTAATACTCTTCACTAACGCCATCATTCAAAGGCATCCATTGATTTGACATCTCAGTGAGGGAACGAAGTTGTGTTCCAAAGATGAGAAAACCTCCAGAGGCTCTAATCCACCATCCATCCGCACTGTTATAGATACAGGGCTGGAAAAGAACAGTTAACCCTCGAAACATAGCTCCCAGTCAGGCCCCGACATTCCTGCTCCTGGAAACTGTTGTTGTTGGGTGCTATGGAGCCATTTCGGACTTGGCAACCTGTACCAGCCTCTCAGTTGTTGATATGGTTGTGCCCGTTGTTACCAGGCCAATACAGCTTTGCTTTTCTTTCTTAGTTTGGTGACCCTTTACTTTACTAAGGGGACTCTGGTGGGATGCTCTGCAAGGAGCTATGCTGATAACCCAAAGCTCCGGGGTATAAAGACGGGGAATCTCCTCCTGTGCAATTTACAGCGGTGGAAAATCCCTGAAGGGTCAGCTATGAGTAGGCTCCAACTCAAAAAAGAAGGCATTTGAGTTTGAATTTTACTTTACTGAGACGTGTTGCACTGAGAAAAATCTACTTTCAAGGATCTCTCTAGAGTGCTAAAGAACAAGGATATCACCTTAAAGACTAAGGTGCACCTGCCACAAGCCATGGCATTTTCTATTGCTTTCTATGAAAGTTAGTTAATGAATAAGGAAAACCAAAGAATTCAATGCCTTTGAATTGTGATGTTGGCAGAAAGTGCTGAATATATCCCATGTTGCTGTTGTTGAGTACCATCAAGTTGGAACCAATGCATAACTGACCCTCTGGCAGGTTTCAGAGGCAGTTAATCACATGAGAGGAGATTGCCCATCCTTCTCTTATGGAGCAGCTGGTGGATTCGAACTGCATGCCTTTGGGATTGCAGCACAGCTTCTTGCCACTAGGCCACCAAAGCTCCCTGAATATTTCCCATGGTTTGCCAAAAGAACAAACAAATCTGTCTTGGAAAAGGCCATCAGGGTGAGCCTTAGAGGCAAGGATGGTGAAACGTCATCTCATTCAGGCGTGCTGTCAGGAGGGGTCAGGTCTAGGAAAAAGGCGTCATGCTGGAAAGCTGGAGGAGCGTGAGAGAAGGAGAGGAAGACCCTCACCAGGATGGACTGACGTGCCTGTAACAGTGGGCTTGAGTCTATCAGAGATGTAAGGATGTTGCAGGACAGGGCGAGGTTCAGGTCCGTCGTTCGTAAGGTCGCTGTGAGTCTCTCCTCATAACCCACACGGACGCTGGTCTCACCAGCCTCCCTTCGAAGGAGCATTCTACCCATGTCAAAAGCATAACCATTCACCCTCTAGCCGCTTCCAAATCCTGCCCTTTCCATGTGCAAAACACATTCATTCCATCTCAACATCTTCAGAAATTCTAACCTACCCAGAAATTCTAACTCTAAGCCCCACATCTAATAGAGATCCTGGGTATAGGCCAATGTGGACAAAATTCCTTTTTACAGAGTAAACTTTGCCTCTCTCCTGCCAAGCCCTCTGGTTGCCTGGGGGCCCGAGCTGCCCAGGACAGGTGAAACTGAGCCTGTTTCTCTGTCACCCTGGCATATCATCCTCTGACTCCGCCGTGGCGACACTCCCAGCCCCGTTCCTCCTCTCCTTCCTCATAGGGGCCTGCCATCCTGTAGGCTCACCCTGTTGGTGGCCGATTCCAGAGAGCTAGCTGGAAGTTATGGATTGAATTATATCCTGTCCCCACCCCTCCTCCCAAATGTGAATACTGACTTCTTTGCCTGTGGTTCTAATCCCATTTGGGAGTGAGTTGTCTTTGTTATGTTAATGAGTCAGGGTTTCTGCTGCATATGGCTGGAGTCAGTCTCTTCTGAGATATAAAAGAGATTAAACAAGCAAGTGAAAAAGCAGAGAGGATGAGGTGGGGCATGGTGGGAGCCTGCAGTCTATGGGGTGACCCTCCCATGCCTGGATCACAGAGGATCTTCAGCAGACGTTTATGGGAGGAACTGACTAGAGTTCTTGTGCACTGCTCCACCCACCCATCGCCCCCAGGGAGCAGCTGTGGGACTGATGCACAGCTGGGGCCCAGCTGGTTGGGGTGCTCCTCCAGGGTCTGCTGGAACTTGCTGCCAGTCCTTCTGGAATTTTGACAAGGAAACAGGGAACAGGGACAAGGCTTGTCCCCCAAGAGTGGAGAGATACTGGAGGTGTCACTCTATCCCATTGTTGTTGTTGTTGTTATGTGCCTTCGAGTCGCTTGCGACTCATAGCAACCCTATGTACAACAGCCCTAAACCCTGCTCTATCCTGTGCCAAGCACACTGCCTCCGACACACCCATCCTGATCACCCCAGTCACTGAATCAATCCACCTCATAGAGGGCCTTCCCCTCCTGCGCTGTCCCTCTACCCTACCAAGCATGATGTCCCTCTCCAAGGACCTGTCTCTCCTTACAACATGTCCAAAGTATGTCAGACAAAGCCCCAGAATCCTTGCCTCCAAGGAGTAGCCTGGTTTAACCCCCTCCAGGATGAATCTGTTTGTTTTCTTGGCAGTCCATGGTACATTCAATACTCTTCTCCAGCACCACAGCTCAAAGGCATCAATTCTCCT